GGTCCACATATGTAAAGATTAGAGTAGTAGACGCTACATGTGTGAGTTATTATTTTGGTCTGGAACTCTTTATTTCCTTTTGTCATTAAAGAAATGGAGCTGGGGTTTTGGGGAGATAGGACAATTTTCCCATGCAGTAATTTTTTTTCCAAAAGAAAAGGATAAATTCCTGGTGTCAACTGCCCTTGGTTTACTCATTTCATAAGTCACTGGTGTCTCTTCACTAGTGTTTTACTGTCTGGAGGTGGACTGGTAAGAAAGCTGGTGGAAGATGCTTCCTTTCCGATTCTTTTGGCAGTAAGAAACCATTTCTTCTTTTGTAACAAAGCTTACATTCTTACCTGAATTAGACCAAGACCTGGAGGTAAAGGGTGCAGCTAAAAGAACAAAAGAAAACTAAATGTGTGCATGTGATGTGAGTTTTATGTGTACTTATGTATGTGTGGTACATGCATGTGGGGGGAGGGACATTTACAAAGATGAAGAAAACACCTATGTTTTATTTGTTCCAACTGGAGGATACTGCCTGAACCAGGTCTCTTCCTGTCCATGCAAGATACCTTGGTGCTTTGAAAAACTGGGCAAGTGTAAACTCTCCATTAGTGAATACAGAAATAGCTCTACCAAGCATACTTGATAGTGAGGTGGGTTTTTGCCATGTCCTAGAAGCGAGCACTTAGTCAATACTTTTTATCTACTCCTTGCTTTCGTCACTGTGTGGATCTGTTTCACTGCTTCCTCGCTCCACCAACAGACTTAGGTCTGGCTTTAGAGAAAAGGGCCTCAGGTTAGTGTGTGACGACTTCTACAAGTTGCGAGTTCTCCTGCCTATAAAGATGTAATAAGCTTAACAAGGAAGCCCATACTTTTAATACTGTTTCATTAAGAATAAGAATGTATTTCGTAGTGAAAAACTTTGCTCAGCAAGTGGAATTTTTATCTCATCAGGTACTAAGAAGTGGAAATGTGAATGAAGGAAATTAAAGAAGTAGGGGGGAAAATAACCCCCAAAACTCACAAAGTGTAATATTCACACATAAGGCAAATGCATCTTTTTCCTGCATAACTAATGTTAAAGTTTCTCAGATTCAGAAGCTAATAGCCCAGTATAATTTTTCCCTGTCTACAATTTCAGCACTGACATATCTTGTTCATTCATAATGTAGCTTGCTATTTAGAACCAAAATTTTCCCAGAACTTTGATAAGCTGAAAATGTACCTCTGAAAGTTTGTATATCTGCATTTATGCATTTTCTACATAAAAAGGTAGTTCTCCAACTCAAAACCAAAATACTTAGGACAATATGGTGTGCATACAATTGTTACATTTTCTTTGCAAAGTGCAGGATGAAGTTTTCAGTAGTAATATGTATCTTTTAAGATGCCTCAGTTGAAATAATAAACAAAACATTGGTGCAAGCAGCAGCTTGTATGGGCCTCATAAGCTGTTATGTAGAGTGGAGGGGGAGCCAATCTCAAGCACAGACCAAAAGATTCCACTTATCTAGTGTTCTGGAAATAGCAAAATTATAAATGGTAAATAGATCAATGGGAGGGGCAGCTAGGAAGAAGCGGGTGGGGATGCACAGGGACCTCTGCAGGGAGTTTTTCTGTGACTTGATTGTGGTGATCCTGCGAACCTACACATGATGTCATAAATCTGCATACAATCATATGTTCAAGGAAAGCGAGTGCACAAACTGTGGGTGACTGTACTATGTTGAAGTCCTGGTTTTCTAGTGAACTACAGTTACGTAAAACACCACCACAGGGGCATCTGAAGGATGGGAGTCTGGGATGAGTATATGGAACTGTGCTATCCTATTTTTGCAACTTTTTGTGAGCCTATAATTATATCAAATATAAAGACCTTAGAGCTGTTGAAGAAAGGATTTCACTTACTAATTAAACACAGTTAGGAAGCAATTTAGTCAGAGACTGCTGTCTTTTCTGGAGGCAAGGATTTTAGATATAAACACTGAAGACTCTGGATTTCGCATATGCTGGTGTCCAGCTCTATGACTCCTAAACTGTGTAAGTGAAAGCAATGATTGTTCCCTTACTTCTATAAAGCTGAAGAATCAGCACGTTTTAGAACAAGCAGTGACCTCACAGAGCATTGGGCCAAGCTCTCAGGTTACACCTCCCTGGGTTTTGGTATCTCCCTTGGTAAAGTGAGAGCTTTGTTCTAGTTTCTACCTAGTGTTTGGCCTAGTTCTAAAATTTAAGAATCCACATCTTCTCAATATAATCTATAGAAACTTTAATGGTAACCTTCTAAGTTGTGCCTTAGTATTTATTACAAACATTCAAATGCATGTTGAGTACATACAAAGGTATGTACATGCAGAAACAACCCATTTATCACATAACACTTGCTTATATAGTAAAAACAACTCAAGAGCAACCTAAACAGGCAGTTTAGTACTCGGTAAAGGTTACGACTGTTCTGGACTTGAGATGACTTAAAAGCACATCTTCCTGTACAAATTTCAGTGCTGGTAACCACCATTGTTTACACAGAAAGGGGAGGTTTTCATGGGGCAGTGTTTCACAGTGAGGAACCCTCAACAGCCCCTCAGATCTGCTACCTCAGTCCTGGGAAGATTCCACCCAACTGAACAAAAACTCTGGAGTGACCACTACCATTTATGCATACATGAAGCTATTCTCAGTGACCAATGTAGGAGGTATGACTGAAAACTGATAAAAAAATTATTATAGTGAAAGACACTGTCATTAATGCCCCTTGAAGTAGCCTTCCCACCCCTCACTTCAAACACTTATCTCATCACCTTGCCACTTTCTGAAGCCATTCTGGAAGGTCTCTTTTGTATCTTTAGTTGTGCTGTTGTGGCTGCTTCCACATCCCGAGCTGATTCAAATCGTCTGACTTTCATGGTCACTTTGACTTTGAGAGGGCCAGAAGGCGCACATGGTCAGATCTGGTGAATCAGACGGACGAGGACACACTGTAATGCCTTCTCATTGGATGGCTCCTGGCAACAGTGTTCACTGTATTTTATAATCACACCTTGTAATCCCTACTAAAGAGCATTTCCAGAACTGCTTCAGAAGGAGCCAAGAATGATGGGCTAAGTGTGTCTGAAGTGAGGGGAGCATTTGGAAGGAGAGTAAGGCCAATGTGTCGTTTATTATAATACTTTTTACAAATTTAAACATTCACTGTGTATTTGAATTACGCTTTGTAGCTTAACTCATTTACATATTGCAGTTACTGTTCCTCACAGAATGGTAAAAACTTTATTACTTCAGAAAACTAAGTGCAAGAATAAGCTCAGAATCCCTAGGGCTGTACCTTACCTTCTGATAACACGAGTAGAACAAAATGATCTGAATTGCAGTAACATTTTGATTTTTGGTACTCATTTTCCTTACTTAAATCTATGATAATTTAAATAAGTCTTTAAAGCTAAAGCAAAAATAAGTGACTCTCAGCATTAGTAGAATCATTTTATTAACAAAAGGAACCCATAGGGTTCAGAGTACAAAATACAATCTATTTTTTTTTTTTTTTGCTTGTGGGTTAAACTGTTACATTTTTAACAAAAATAAAAAAAGCTCTTATAGTTAACTTATCAAAAACATATTCCCTGCCTACTGAGTTTCTTATTGTGCAAAACGAAAACATCAAAAGTAAATTTTACCCAGGGAATAAAAGATTTTGTGTGCCAAACAATGTGCATTTTCAATTTGAAACTTTTCGCATTCAAAGGAAAATTCTAAGGCCACGTTTTTTCCCAAACTAAACAAGAGCAAGAGGGGAATAAAGAGGAAAATAATAGCAGCTAAATTCTTCTTCATTCATAGGTTTTCTCTGTGCCAATGTAGTTTTCTACATTCATAAAATGCTATCTTAACTATAAAAAAGGTATGCAGTTTCAACCTACTGCTATGGTCAGGCATATGGAAAGTATCAAGTCAGACTTTTGACCTAGTCTCTTAAATGTTCATTTTGCTGGGCAGAGTTCACAACTTCTCTACTCAAGAAGATAAAGTAATCCTACTGAAGGATTCTAGTAAGTGGTTGCTTTTCTTTGTGAAGCCAAATAAACTTCCTCTCCAGACTGAGTTTGCTTTTTTCCCCTTTGTTTTGGTTTCGTGGACATGGATGATGTTCTGGCATGGCCTGTAAACTATAGCTGTGAAGTCAATAAACAGCTGAAGATGAGCTGTTTGGACAGCACTTAAATACGCAGATCTATTTAAAGACATACAAAAAAACAAAGTAAAAGACCTTTAAAAACCAAATGAAGGAGTAAGTTTTGTAACAACTGTACCACAATTACTGGTATAACCATCATACACTGTGATTTTAAATGGTGGCTTATAGTGAAAGAAATGCGTTTAATGTTTCATGGTTACAGAGATGAGAAGTACATCCAGGGGGTGAAAAGCACACATTCACTAAACGTTTGTAGAAAAAAATCCCTGATCAAATGGCCAACTGATTTTTAAATACAAAATTTAACTGTATAAGAATTTTTTTATTTCTAAGTGAACACATTTACTAATTACTTTATCAAATGGAGTACAGGATCTGCCTGGGAAGCACCAGGGTTTCTGGATCAAACCCTTAATAATCAGCTGGTCCAAAATTTCAATTATGGGAATCCCTACCTCCCTTTCACTTAGTGTCCAGAAATGTTCTCAGCTCACAACACTAACGGATGGAAAAGCCAGTGAGCATGTGAACCTGAAAAGGAGGGGAGAAGAGACAGTACAAACACTGCTGAAACTTCAAGCAGCAACACAATCCTGCTGGTCAGAATCTCCTGAGGTTAAAGGACAACAAAATATTGCACCAAAACAATAAAGAAAGTCACAGTTTAAACAGAAGTACTAAAAATTGGAATAACAATGTATTATGCAGTGACTGCCACCAGTCTGCTTAAGCCTCTTGACAGTAAATTAAATTTATGTCTTTTTTTTTAAAAGTAGCATTTCTACGTTCTTTTGAATTTACATTTATTTTGAAATACCTTTAGGTATACATATATTTATTTCCATTTAATGCTAACCTTATAGATTTTTTTCCCCTGGTTTAATTTCTGATTAAATACAAGGTGAGCTAAGACTGCTGCTATAAATAACAGAAACTTCAAATATGGTTGACCAGGCCTAAAGTTTTGAAAAGCTATCTGATAACCCCACTAGAGGTAGGTTAAGAAAATGCTTTTTTTGACTGTGTGGTTATCAAGGCATCCTAACGATGTAACTTTTTCTTTCCTCCTTTTTCTGCTGTGCCCTCAGATAATGAAGATATGGGGATATTAAGATATCCTGTTTAAGTATTTAGAGGTGGTATAGCTTTCAACAAAACACAATTTCATAATAAAATTCATCTTTCCCATTTGAAGTGGCACGCTTTTTAAGGAAGCCTTTGCAGGTTTCCTAATACTGTGTAGCCTATTTAGAAAGTACATTTTAACCTAAGACTGAAAGAATGGAAACTGTATTACCACACTGGAACCTTATGTGACCATGATTTCAAGAACGGGAACTTGATCTCTGATATGGTGATAGAACAGGAAGTCATGAAGACCCTGGAGCCTGCAGGTCTCACTGAGGGTTCAGAGTAGGCTACTTCTGCGCACATGTCTATGTGGCTACACTCAAACCGTCTGCCCGGTGAATCCTTCACTTGGCCTTCACGTTTGCTTCTCTTTGCAAAGCCTTTGCAGAGGCTTCCTTGCTCTGGTTTCCACTCACAGAAACCCTCCTCGCTGGTCAGCAGGCCTCCTCACTTACGCTACCTTCACCAGCACGTCCACTTCGCCTTTGCTCACAGTGTCATCCCGTTCCCAAAGGTGACAGGTGGCCATCACAGAAACTTAACCACTGCCGTGGCCCACTAGAAAGTTCTAGTAATCTTTAATTTCTATTGTCTTCAATCTTGATGTTCATTTATGGTTTTAAATTAATCTTTCTGCCCTCTCCCCCAAAAAGGCAGATGGGAAAGAACCAACATTCCAATTTGATGAACACAGTGATTTCTGAAATATTCACTCAGAGAATGAAGGAAACAGGTTGGGTCTCCTCTATGTCACTAGGATGTGGATCAACCTGTAAAAAAGAAGACTGCGATTACTGTTGTAGCGGTTTTTAAGTGACTCTACGACCTACTTCTAATTACATGATGACTGTAACCCAAGCTGCTCAGAGTCTTGTCTACCAGCCAGTTCCCATGGTCCAAGGCCACATAGAACACCTCAAATTCACTCCTGACACTGTGCGTGTGTGCCACATATAGCTCACAAGGAAGATTCCAGAAAGCAAGCTAAATGGACAGCAACAATCTATCACCAATGTGAAAGCAGTTTTATATGGAGCCTTTATTAACTATGAGCCAGGAACAGGTACTTTAAATGAACGGAGGACAGCAAAAATGATTACTGGCAAACAGCATAATGAAAGTCTAATTTTCTTTTGCTTTGTTTACCTCTGAGTAAAGAGGTGGAGGCTGAAACCGGAATTCTTGTATGCAGGCAAACATAGGGTAGCACGCTCCTCCCTCACTGTCAGGGGGCTGCGGGTAAGGAGGAATGTGTCTGGAGAATTCTTCCTCCGACACCACATCTGCGTAATTTGGTGGTGCTGAAACAGAAATGGAGTTGGAGCTGAAAAATTCCCACAAAAACAAATTTTTCTGAACACTTTCAAAAATAAGAAATTTAGCTACAATGACGATTAAAACAAGGCATTTTTCTCTCTAGTCAGCAAACGTTTGTGTACAACAAAGACAATTTTCCTCCTGCTTTTATTAAACTATTGCTAACACTGACTGAAGATTTTGCTACAGTCTGGGGAAGAATTATCACGGAAATGTGGCCACAGAAAAACATGCAACACTCTACACTTTATTTTGAGCGTTTCTCATTCTTTTACTATTACACATCGCCATTAGGAGATGTACCTTTTATTCCTGAGTGCCCTCAGGCAGCTTTGTGTCCTGGAAGAATTAAATTTTTGACGTCCCTTTTATGACTTTTTAGTAGTAAGAAGAATAAGCCTAACTGTATTAGCTGTAATAATTCAAATGTGAGCACTTACTATCTTATAGTCCTGTTCTTGGCTACTTTCTATATAAAACTTCATTATTATTAAGAACTTCAAAATATTTTACCTTCAGGCTGTTCTGGCAGGGTCAGGGTCAGCCAGCTCATATCCATGCTGAACTGGCTGGCAATGCTGGAGTTTCTGCTGCCAAAGCCATTATAGGGAATTGTACCAATGACTAATGGCAGCTCAAGCATCAGCTTTTTAGCACCAGGAATGTGAATGTATACCTGATCGATCAGCAAAAGGAGAAGGCACAGATATAAGTTAAAAGCACACAGGAGATTGCCCTGGTGATGTCTTTTTTTCAGGAAGCAATGAATTCCTTTGCCAACTACCACCCCACTCCCATTTCAAATGTAGACAGTCCTGACTAAACGAAATGAACAAAATGAAGAGGACCCCAAATACAGTAAACACTGTGACAGAGACCTGTGGCCTTCACACACTGTAATGGAAGCTGGCACTGCTTACAATTCCACAAAATTAAGTGTGTGACGTACACCCTGCAATCCACCACAATCCCTTTCTGTGACTTTCATTCCCTGGAGGAGGGACAGACTTTTAGTAAAAGCAAAGGTCAATCTTTATTGGCCCACAAGTGGTGGCAATGCTGATACAGGAGAATAATCTCCTAAGTATCAACTAAGAAACTGACAGCAACATGCCTCCAGTTACTGCTCCTTTCTATATATTTTTAATTTTAGAAAGATCTCTCTTACAGCTAAGGAATAGTCCACTCTGATAATGCAACAGTCCAGGATGGAGGGAGTGACAGGCGGAATTTTTAGAGTCTTCCCGTTCCATATGTCGGTGCTGCCAGAAGCGATGTGGTTTCCTCGCACATTAGCAACCATGTGACGGAAGGTCTTTGTTTTTCCGCTAGCCAAATACGTCTGGGTTTGGAAAATAGCCGCTTTGGGAACAATCAGCCGAGATGAACAATTTTCTATTTCTGCATAAATAGGAATAGCTTCTCCTAGAAAGAAAATAAAAACAGGATGGATTCAGGGACTTTTCAAAAAATTCTCACCAAAATGCAATGAGGCCATTACCAATTAAAGTTGAAATGTTCCAAAAGAACTTCAACCAATTGAGAAGCCCTGATGGAAAATGTATATTGTAATACTGGGTCAGATAAAAGAAAACTCACTGTAGTTTGTGGTTGATATGATTTTTCTAATTATTGAATTATTCACTTTTGTACTGCAGCAATATTACATTAACAGTTCTAAAGATATGTAAATGATCAGTACCTGTATAAGTTAAGGTAGGGATTAAAAATAAATGATCTAGCTCAACGTTAGAAAAACAACATTAACAAACTCACCTATCATATTAAAATTTGCCCAACAAGAGAACAAAGCTCTTGCTTTGAAGGAATTAAAGCTGAGGCACAAATAAGACAATGGCAGGATAGGCACGTTTTACAACATTACACCACACCATTTCAGACCACGTTCAGTTCCAACAAGCCAGAACCTGGGGGCAGAGCCAAACCCACTCTGGGAACTGGGTACTTCACAAACGGTAGTTCTGATATCAACATGTCTGCAGTTTGTTAATGTTTTACGTTCTAAGCCCGCACGTTTCTATATCTCAGACCAGCATGGAATCAGAGTCCTAACAGTATTTTCCCATTGCAACTGCCCCCTTCAGAGGGGTGTAGCTCTAGGCATTCTTTTGTAACATTTACTAGTCCTGTATCTCCACACTCTTCTTTTACTTTTTTTTTTCCTGAAGTAACAGGATCAAAGTCAGAGATACCAGAAGTTTTACTGGAACCTATTCATCTGCTTAAAATATTTAAATTAAAACTAGTTATATTAAAACTAGAATTTTACTATTCATATTTTAAAATAAGCTATACTGTATAAATTACAAAACATACCATTTAAAATCCCTGGATATTAGTCAGTAACATGAACTAATCTTTCACTTGGACTTTCAAATAAGTTGCTTACCATTACAGTATCCCTTTCTTTCAATTTTGGCACTCAGCGAGACTGGACCAGAAGTGAAAAACCAACAGCCAACCATTTTTTCTTGAGTTTTCAATACAGGGGTCTTGAAAATTTCAAATAAAATGATTTTAATTAAACCACTCTAGAGAACTCAGAGAACTTAAAAATTACATCTCTCATAATAATAGTTGTAAAGAAATTACATTCATATTTCCATGTCAGATCATCAAGCAACACATACTGTAACAGAAAGTGCTAAAACTTATTTCCTTCTTAGAAAAACTAGGCTGAACCTATTTTACCCTGAAGTCATTGTATTTCTAGGAAATGATACACTATCCCTTCAAAAAGGCAATATTTACTAGAATTTTTAAAAACTTTGTGTACAGATCTGGTGAAGGGAGCACTAATATAAAATTAATAATCATAATATCATACTTGTTTTGGCACTACGTGGAATGAGCAAATAGCCATTTTTTTTTTCACTTCCAATGCTATGAGGCATTTCAAGTGCTCATAGATAGGTTGGGGGCTTTGTGTAATAGTGCAACAACATCTTCACTAGTAGCAGATCTGCAAGGCTATCGAACACATTATACCTTACTACAGTATCTTATTTTGTATTTATTCTTTAATGTTAAGAGAAATGACACAAGGTAAGATGCTCAGTTTACGAGCTGCATACACCAAAGCTTTCTGTAAAATCCAAAGTTACTTGTGATTATTTTTTTTTTTCTTTATGGAAAGAATAGTAAAGAATAACTAGTATCCACTTTTGGCAAAACCAAAATCTTTTTAAGTAATTTGCCATAAATATTATAAAGACTATAGAAATACTTAACCTTCCCATTCCAAGCAGATTTTAGCATCATCAATTTTCAAAAGGAGTTTTAAGGAGGTATTAAAGTTGTAGCTACAGGTGAGCTGATCTGAAAACCATTAAATTAAACGATTTTGGGCCACAAGAAACTATGCAAACCATATTTGTTATCTTTTATTCAGAAGTGAGGGGTAAAGTATATTCTGTCTCTTTTTTAATGTGAAAATAGGAGTTAAACAACAGTTGGCTTTTTTCCTTGTCTTTAAAAACACTGTTAGAAAAAGAATAAAATCTTTGTCACATGAGTATCATGGTGAAAAGTTTAAATGATCTCAGTATTTTCTATGAAGTAAAAAAAAGATCATTCATTCATATTTAAATGAAGAACCATTAGATCCTAGCAGCTATCATGAAAGTACAAGGTATAATTTTATATTATTTTGATAATATGGGTTTAGATAAAAGAATCCAGCTCATTAGCTCCCATCTTGCCTATTCTGTTGTTACTTATAGCCTGATCTTTCTTATCAGTCTACAGTATTTCTGGTGATTATTAGAAGTTCAATGCTTTAATGTGGCCAAATCTGTCATAAGGAAATGATAAGTGAAAGGATCTCGGCAGCAGCTGCATGTACTTACTTAATGTTAGAAAATGACATGCAAAATGGAAGGATACATAGCATAATGGCATGAGCTTCAATAATAGGCTGAGCATGATTAATACTCTTCCATAATTACTGTTCTTCAACCTGCTATTATTGAAGAGTTTAGAATACCACAGTCCCGTGAATGTGGCCGCTCTGGTAAAAGTAACTACTCTCTGTGTGTGCATTATTGTTATTAAGCCTTATTAATGCATTTCAAGCCTGTGTAACTTTCTGGCAAAAGAAGCTCTGAACAGCAGGGACATAATCAATAGCATCAGCACACACAATTTGTAATTTGCCCAACGTAGAATCATATATTTATACTGAATGCCTATGGGTTACCAGATTGTATTTTTGAAGCCATCAGAAAGTGACAGGACTATCACTAAACTTGGTAAATGTAGACACTGCTGTGGAAAGGAAGGAGGAATGGAATGAAAGGGAAAGAGGGCAAGCGCAGGAGGAAGAGGAAGATCCTACCAACAACGCCGGTGTGTTGACATCGACGTGACCGACAACCTGGAGCTCCCTCGTCACACTCTGATCCGGTACCCTGGGTCGTTCCAGAACCGCCCTCACGCAGTACCCAATCCTTCCGTATTTCCCTGTAAATGAGGTCACCAAAGGTCTGGAACAAACAAGAGATACTAGTTTATGAGTCTGTTTTTCAATCCAGCTAGAAGAGCAAGGCTTAAAAGGTTGGTTTAAGTTGAAAAAACAAGATTAAGCAGGCATGTCTATGACAGGCTATTCAGAATAGAAGTGCAAGCTTCAAAAGCAGAAGATAGGTGCTCTACTCAAACGTTCAGGTGCACATAATTCAGGGAAATAAAATCACAAAACTGTATAGCTTCACTTACTCAGAAGGAAGTTGAAAGCGAAATGGAAATTCATGTTTTCCAGGCTGTAATAAAACGATGCCTTCACCTATAAAAGAGATTGTATTTTATTTTAACTAAGGTTAATATTAGCATCAAGACTTCTCATAATCTAAGTCATTCTTAAATGAGGTTTTCATGGCTATAAAATGCAGTATACTTAAAAAGATCATTAAATACATTTAGAATATTGAATTTGAGTCAGTTTTTACCAAGTAACACGTACATATGTGCACACACACACACACACACACACACACACACACAATTTCCATCCTCCAAATGAACAACTGTGCAAGTAACTACCATAAAGTGCCAATATACATATACAGTACGTGTGTGCACACATATGTGGAAGTGTGTATATATACATGTATAAAAACAAATTATTTACCCTACTCTATCATACTAACAGGAGACAGCAATATTAAATTGGAACTAAAACTAATTTAGCAAAAGATATTTATTTTGGGTGTACCATAAACTTTACTATGTTGGAAAAGGAAGTCCAAAATTTATAAGTATTAATAGTGGGTATAATACAAAACAGCCAAACCAACAAGAAGCTACTCAGCAAAGAGTCAGGTATTTACTGGTAAGCTGTAGCAAGATTAACAGGGTTTCGGGGAGTTCAGCTTGGGAATCACCAAGCAGGGCCAAGGCCCCTTCTGCGGCTCTGGGCTGCCAGCTCAGTTTTATTTCACACATGAGCTTAACACTGACTGTGAGAAGGCTAAACAGGGGGTGTGGATAGACGCTGTGAGACCAGGGGCACTAGAACCTCTCCTGAATGGACCTAGACACTCTGTTTCATTCAGATCCAAAGGAGACTGTGGCTTCCAGCACTGCAGGAGGTTCCTGAACTATTTATAAACTTTCCCTGCATTCCATGCTCAGATTTAAGACTACAATCTCTTCCTTGTGGATGGGAGAAGTAAGATGAAGAAAACGCAGCACGGAGAACTTTGAATTTGCCTGGTTACCAGACACTACAATGAAATTTTCTGATTTATCCATTAAAAAAAAAAACTTTTTGAAGGGTAGAAATCACTAATGAAATAGTATTTCTTTACACTTGGTTACTAGAACTTAAAGGCCCTACATATTTCAATTAACGCTGCAGCCTTATACTTTTAGAAAATAGGAGTGTATTACTGACCCATTAAGTCTTCTAAATTTCTTCAGTGTTTAGTGCACCGTACATCGAAGGAGCGGGAAGGGGCAACATAAGTAAACCATAACCAGTTACAAGGACAGCAGATCAGATGAAGTGGCCGTGAGAGGGCAAAGCCAGGGTTTAGGCAGGCTGGGGAGCTGCCCTGTGAGCCACAGCCAGGGTTGCAGCAGAGCCGCCGCACCTGAACCTAGGGGAGCTTCCGCCTTCACAGCTACCCAGGGTGAGGCTCAAGGCTGTGCCAAAGCTTTGCAGAGCATTGGGCTGCAAGTTCTAATTTGTAATCGTTAGATTACAGAGCATGACAAAGTAGGTACAAATGCTTAAAAACATTTTATCTAAGTTCAAAAATTCCAGGGCACAGATGGGAGGCACTTGGGAGTCCATAGAAAGATGAATAACTTCAATCCTCAGCCAGACCAGTGGGAACAGAGGGGCTGGACACTGTGCACAAGCAATAACCAGAGTGCTAGAACCTGGGCATCCAGGAAGGTGCGGGCACCTCGAGCACCTGCGGCCTGGACAGCAGATGAGTGGGGAGGGGTGTGGAGGAAGTGAACAGCATGAGGCCTTTTAGGCACGTGGAGACAGCAATGTTCAGGATTACTGAAAGGGGATGGAGCTAAGAGAAAGATGAAGTTCCCCTTCCACAGAGAAAACAAATGAACACAGGAGTTCCATCACTTAACCATGCTAAAATACAAAACAAAGCAATTTGAGCAAACTGACAAACATAGGTTTTAATATGTGGAATAATTTTTGTCATTGTGTTTAATTACAAACGTTCACAAGCTGGAACCATTTCTGCTTCTGTTTGCATGGCTCCTTACTTCTGTCTTGTACAGAGGGCTACCATGTAAGAGGGAGAAGACATTTCATTGGCTAATGGTCTTACACCAAAGCTCATAATTAAAGGCTTTCATGAGCCATGGGATCTAGAAGACCATTACAGAAACAGAGGCTGCCAGGAAGAGTGAGGGGGTGAGGGACTTGCCTAAGGTCACATGGCTGGTGTTGCCTCAGAACTGAAACCAACTCTCTGGTTCTGTATTCTTGTCTTTCTGTCACAATCCTTCTATAAAAATTTGAAGAAAATCAGTCACAATGATAGCAAGGTTAGACTGACAATGCCAAAGTATCATCTAGGGAGATTTTTAAAAAAATAGATCCCAGACTTATATTTCTCAGATATCTAGATTTCTAAAAATCTCTTCAGATGATTGAAAGAAAGCTCAGGTTTGGAATTAAGTGATCCTGAGAATCTATGACTATCTGAAGTTGCTCACTCTTTCCAAAGTTTAGATATTGGGGGAAGCCCCCCACAACTAAAAGAAGACCACGATTTTAAATAAAACATGTATTGCTAGTATTTGTCATGATACATCCTAAAACAAGACACAGATTTTTTTCAAACTGTGCTTGTTTAGATGGTTCATTCCATTAGAATGAAGAAATGAGACCTGACTTGTGAAATCAACATGCTACCTGTAATTTTACCAATCATAGACTTTACCAGTGCAATTTTCATTGTGAATCCCAGGTTGAACTGCTTTTACTGTTATATCTATTTACTCAGTAGTTATGGGCTCAGGGAGTTTAAAGACTTAGACAAAAACTATTTTTTCTCTCCTCTTCCGTGGCTCTTATCACCAGGCAGCCATCTTGAAAATTCAGGCTGGCTGTGACCACCCCGCTGGCTGATCCTGAAAACCCGTCTGATGAAGGGAGGTAGGAAACTGTCACCTACCACACTGTTCTTGTTCATCAAGATAGAGCTTTGGTTCTAAATATTGTTTGCCTCCCAAAGTTTTGGGGATTAGAGAGATGATCACATAATTTGAGGATCTGACTGGACAGCCTGTTTCTCCACAGCCGGGTAAGACACAACCACGTCCCACTTCACGAAAGTTATGGCAAGTCTTCCAATGTTTAGATACAATGCATTTTACTCTTCAAATGTAATAGCTAAAAGCTGATGAGGCAGAAAGGTCAAACAGTTTAACCCCTGGCTGAGAGAGGACTAAGAATCACTGGAATCCGTGAGTTTATGATTTTTCATTATCATTAAAGAAATCAAATTTTGTACCTAGTATTAATGCAATCTCCGTGTAGTTGGTCCTGACATGGCCACTTTCTGGAAAAATCTACACTATGAACACCAAGGTGAACTGGAAGGAGTAATCGGAAATGCTCATGTGGCTGTCTCCAATGGGAAAGCAAGAGGGAGCAGGGAAAGGATGCAAAGGGAACCAAGCAGAAATATGAGGTGGGGCAGAACTGGTACAGAGCTGCCCTACTTCCCAGAGGAGGGGTCCGAGGTTACGATGGTCAAGTCGAGGCCTGTCCTTTGAAACAAGCCATCCAGAGCTACTTCCTTCTTCCTAAGTAAGACTTTCTGCCAATTCATCACGAACCAAGAGTCTGCCTAGCTCCGGGATGTGAAGGGGTGGAGGCCCCGAAACTCTCCGCATCCCAGAATGGAAGGGCACAGATCCCGGTTCCGCCCTCCGCGCCTTGGGCACGAAGGGACCAGGCTCTCCGGGTCCCTAAGAGCCTAATCGCACGTCCCCATGACAACCGCCCGCGGCTTCCAGAAGATCCTAGGATGCCGTGCGCTTCTCCGCCACCGCGAGACAGGGCCAGGTGCCGGTCAGAGCTGCTCACCGGCGCGCTCCGGGCCCTCCGTCCTCCCGG